TCCTGTGATGGTAAAGCTGAATTTTCAGCATCATTACTCCTGTCTTCAGTGTCACGTGATCCTTCAGAAATCATTCTATTGAGCTAATTTGCTGTGATACATTTTCTTCAGGACTCTGGTGAACAGAAAGTTCAAAAGAACAGCATTTTAAAATATTTGTATAAGTGTAGTGTAATTAGGTCAACTTTGTGTGACGTGTATTCGTCTACATGAGTTCTAACTTGATTTTTAGGGAGGCCCTGAGTGTTCCAGGCCCCTACCTGGAGCGGCGTATGAGTGAGCATTTACTGGTAACAGACGGTTTGGCATTCTTTCCTGACTAGTCACGCTGGCAGATCATCAGCTCCCTCTTTCTGAGTCTGAGCTGTAGGGTTGATACAGTGGTCATGTGATCTGCCCACTGTTTCTCTCGTCACTAGGTGAGTCATCAGGAATGCTGTTAATCAGACATAAACAAATGCTCGGAAAAGAAGTGAAATGTGTGGCAGCCTGAATGTGTCGTGTCAGAGGACCTGCGGGGTAATTCAGCTCAGTCCCCGTTTTGGTTGCATTTCCTCTATAGTTGGGGTATTTTTAGCTTTTTAGCTTTTACCTTGGGCTGAAGATTATTCTTGTGCTCTTTGTGTACTGACTTGGACATGATGTCCCCATTACAGAGCTGATTGGAGCAGTGAAGTTAACTCTGAGCTAAACTCCCACATCCTGTGCTCTCCAGAGATCCACAGCATGAAGAAAGGAGGATGCTGGTCAGCCCGCAGACCCTCACAGCAGCTACAGGCTCTGCCAGACGCAAAAGAAATATTTACCCTCAAACACACTTTTAAGAACACTTTCTCACACACATCCTGTTCTGAAGTTATACAGTCACAGACTGTTGGCCAGTCCAGTTAACTTCACTGCAGATGAGACTAGTAACATCTTGTAAACGATTAGCGTCCCTGATTGCTACTGAGTGTCCTGAGTTTTGACAGGTCTGCATTGGATAATAGAACCCCCCTAGTTTACTGAAAGTACAAACTATTATTTATATTCAGTTTGTTCTACGCTCAGTTTGTATGTTTATTTAATACCAGCAAACTTGTCACCTTTTTGTTGAATATTGCTGTTCTGTAGTTGAAATGTGCCATTCATGCAATTTAAGAATTTTCCGAAACTATTTCAGCTGCTGATTCCAACAGGTTTTTAGAATAAAAATTAGCTATTTTCCCCCAACTACACACTATCGATTACTTTACTTTTCTAGTCTTTGTTGAGTACTTGTAATAGTAGTAGTAGTACAAGTAGATCTCAAGTATGACAAAGATAAGGACATTTCTGTTTATACTATTTATTGTATTTCTTTCTCTAAATATTCACAAAAACATTGTGATTACTTTTTATAAATTCATTTGTTAATTGTTCCCAAACAACAATTCAGTGGTTCCATTTTCTTTCATCAGTGAAATGTCTTTAGTTTTAGTATTTATATATATATATATATATATATATATATATATATATATATATATTCATTCATTCATTCATTCATATAGTGTGTGTATGTAGGAAATGGCTTATGCTCTGCTTTATGTGAACTGCTGTATTTCATTGTGGACTTATTTTTATTCATTTGGAAGATGCTTTTATCCCAGACATTTATTCTTTTTCATTAGCTTGTGTTTCCCTTTGAATTAGTTTCTCTACTAGTTGAGCTGAAGTATTGCTCTGCCAAATGAATCACATTTTATTTGTACTCGCATTATCAGTCAAAGGGTGTGCGCCATGAAACAAGTATGGCAAATTTGTATAAATAGTTTTTAAAACCATTTTGTGTGTAAACTGTTGCATGGAATTTTATGAACAACTTTGAGTTTGTTCTGCTCAGGTTTCATGATTGAAACCCACTGAATGGCCTAATATCATGATTGAATGCTGTAACAAGAAGCTAAAAGAGAAGTCAAATTAATGTGTGTCAGTGAGAGATGTGCCTGGCTTTTCTGTGGGCCCCGGTGCAGGACACTTGGCAGCTGCTGTGCTGTAAAATCATTATAACACTACTGTTTTTATTACAGCCAAAGCTTGTGTACATTAAATGACAGAACACAAGCTCACTTCCTTTTTATTCTCTGACCTGGAGCAGTAAATACTCCTAATTTGCCTACAGAAAAGCACACTGGAGGACGCTTTGACAGAGACTGGATTCATTTTGCTTCATACTGCTGTAGCAAATTCAGATTAACAACTTGTTATTGAGATTATGCTAGGTGAATTTTGTGTTGTTTTTTTCCCTCTCAGTCATTCTTAATTCATGAATGGCAGTCACTGTGGACTCGTCCCGACTGAATGCATTCTGGTGTATCATGTTTTATGAAGCCTTGACAGGAGACTGGGGGACTGTGCCAACGAGTCGCTACAGCACTTGTGTGACTGAGATACATGCTGCCGGGGAGTAGAAGTCTGTCCGCACACTTCATCAGATGTCATAACACATTCCTCTGATCCTGTTTTCTCATTTCTTTAAGCACAGAGACATCCAGTTCACTCTAAATGTTCCCATTCTGATTATTTACTACTGTCTTGAAGCATTTTTCAGTTGAGTCATCCAAGTATCTCGGTAGTAGGGGCTGCATTACTGTTGTTTACAGGTTTCTCTTGAAAACCAGTGCTGCATTACTGTTGTTTACAGGTTTCTCTTGAAAACCTGTGAGCTTGTAGAAAGATTAAATCGAAGGCTCTAGACAGCAGTATGAGGTGACATGAGGTTTCATTAGCAGGAAGTATAAGTGTGGGGATTGCCAGATTACCCAGGCAGCAGTAGTAGTGGTGGGGGTGTGATGACTAGGGAGACTAAGACATTTGGGCCCTCCTTTGGTATCAATTACCAGGCTGACCTTTAACATGCTTCAATCGAAAAACAACTGGCTGAGGAACAAGAATTGATTGTGGAGGTGCAGGATGGTCTGCAGCAGCGAATGCGCTTTGTCTGCTGAGCTCCACACACCGACTGTACTCTCCCACATTACTCTGTGATGGGGCTTAATTTGGAGGTGAGGTCACCTGGTCACGTCGTGTTGATGAGCTGACACTACTGTGTGCTCGAACTCTCAGAATGAGCTTTAGAATCAGAATCAGAATGAGCTTTATTGCCAGGTATGTTTACACATACGAGGAATTTGTTTTCGTGACAGAAGCTTCCACAGTGTAACAGAATGACAGTGACAGAACAAAAAACACAGATAATAAAAAATAGAACAAGTAAATAAGGAATAAAAATATATAAATTGACAGTTGTATGTGCAGGTATATTACAATAAGACAGTTTTTGTATGTACAGGTACTGTATATTATGTGCAAATTTGAGGTGTAGACTGAGTATGAGTGTTAGATAAATAAGTGTATGAGTGAATAAATAGTGTGTGTTCCACAGTTATTGTTAAGTGTTCATGAGATGGATGGCCTGAGGGAAGAAACTGTTCCTGTGTCTGGTCGTTCTGGTCCAGCCTCACTAGCTGCTGCCTGTCTGTCAGGAAGCTGTTGATCCACTGACAGACGGAGGTGGGCACGGAGAGCTGAGATAGTTTGGGCAGGAGGAGGTTTGGGATGATAGTGTTAAAGGCCGAGCTGAAGTCCACGAACAGGATCCTCACATAAGTCCCTGGTCTGTCTAGCTGTTGCAGAACATAATGCAGTCCCATGTTAACTGCATCGTCCACAGACCTGTTTGCTCTGTAGGCAAACTCTCTCTTCTCCTCTTCCTCTCTCTCTCTGTTTTTCCCTTACTCAAGCACAATTATCTGATCATCTTACCAAAGCAAACTGCCAGTCATTGGCCAGCCCTTAAGGTGAGAGAAAAAAATCGCCTGCGAGCTCGTACAACAGCAAAAATCGCACCGTGTACGCCCGCCTTTAGTAAGCCATAGGGCTTGTTTTCAATAAGCATACTTTTCTGTAATGAAAATCACCTGATGCTAATTTGAAAGCTGTATGGCTTTAAAAGTTCTAAAGCAAAAGATTGTTTTCTTCCGTTTGTCAATTTCAGTAGTCGATACCAGTGCCAGATAACTTTTGCTGTCATCACTAGATTTTCAAATCAGAAGTGTTGTTGAAAATGTGATCTTCAAGTATTATTCAATGAAGTAAACATTGCATTTTTCATGGAATTTAAGTAACCGGTTACTAATAGAATTGTTTGTTGCACTAACATTTTTATTTAAAAAAATATTAAAGAAACATTACAAGTGAGAGAACAGATAAGCATAGTAGTTTTTAGGTATCAGCAGAATCAACTATTCAGGTTTCAATGTTAAAGTCAGCATGAAATAAAAATTCACCCTATTTAGTTTCTATAAATTCATGTTATTGATCAATTTATCTATGCATTTTTTTTTTACCTCGTAATTTTAAGTAATAACTTGATCTTCCAGTGAAGTGACAGTCTTCTCTCTGATAACACATGCCGGACTTCTCCAATCATTTAGTTGGCTTAAACTCTGCCCCTTTCTTACAATCTACTGCAAGCTCTCGTTCACATCTGCCTCCATCCAGTTAACAACCTATGCACAGAACCATGCAAGTCCCCACCCTACATTGTTTTTCTTTTTCGATGGTCCATTTCACTCAGATGCACTTCACAATATGGAAGAAAAAATTGCTAGTATCCATGTCAGAAATTAAATGTAAAAAAAATTAAAATAAAAAAAATGCTAAGCTTGTCCCACAGCTGGCCTGACGGCACCTACTTGGACGTGTTACAGAGTAATAACAGCTGTCCAAAACCCAGTATGAGACTTGCAGACTATGTAAATGATTCAGACCGCATCGGAGGATAATTAGAGAATCTATGGGCAATTACTTAAGCAAACATGAACCATTTGAATAATGTTGTTTTGGGGGGCAGAGAGGATGTGTGCTGGTAGTTAAGTATAATTGAGATGATAGTGATGATTACAGTGATGGATCTGATGCAGATGGCATAGATGCAAATTAAAGAGCTAATGACTGTGAATTTGCTTCCTTCACAGAGAGCCCAGCGAGGAGTGCAATGGAATTAGCGGTGCTCTCCCTGTGGAGCCCGCGCCTGGCTCGAGACTGAACGAGTGGTGTCCTGCCCCACCCCCTCTCGCCCCTCTGCCCGCGATCCACCCCACCAGTATGGGGGACGGCCTGGACGCATTGCAGATGTCGGGGAGCAGCAGCAGTCAGGGGCAGCCCTTGTCCCAGGCCCCTGGCATCTTCAGCCCCTGCCCCCCAGAAACCACTAACCCTTCCCGGCCCAAGCGCCAGACCAACCAGCTGCATTACCTGCTGAAGGGGGTGCTGAAGACTCTTTGGAAGCACCAGTTCGCTTGGCCTTTCCATTCTCCTGTTGACGCCATTAAGCTGAATCTGCCTGTGAGTGAACTAACTGTCCATTTACAGTCCTGTTATGTCTGATGAGCAGATCCTGTCAGACAGCGTAGCTGCACTGACTTTTACTGCAATTGTTTTGCCACTGAAATGGTGCTAGAAGATCATCTGTTTGATGATGTGCTATTTGGTCTTTGAACTGCCCTGCATTTACAGTAGGGGTGTGAACCTACACTGGGTCTCACGGTTCAGTTCGATTACGATTATCATGTCATCGATTCGGTTCAGTTCGATTTGACGATGCACTGCATCCTCAATTTTCAATTGTAATTCACATGTATAGCCTACAATTTTGTCAATAAATACGAGCAGTCAGATATATGAACTGAACCTTTAATTTTACCTGCTCAAAGAAAACATGCTTCTTGAATGTATAATTTTTGTCTGAGCTGGGTCCACCTTGGCACTGACAGGCGTTAACAGCTCAGGGTGGAAACGGCTGACGTGGTTTGTCAAGTTAGTGGTATTACCATAGATATATATACATAGATGCCTCATTAGCGACTGTTTCTATGGGATACGCGATACGTAATGCAATGCGTAAGCCATCTGCCATTTTTGGAACGGTCTGCAAACCCTCGAGCGCAAGTTGACTGTGTGCGTCTACAGCAGCAAGTTATATGCATGTATATCTTTGAATATTCATTGATTATTATGGTGAATGACATCAAGTTGACCATTCCAAAATGGCAGACGCATCAACGTATCTGGAGCGGTCGAATAGGGCATATATACATATCTATGGGTATTACCCCCTGCATATTTTATTTGTGCGTGACATGATTTACACACAGCGGGTGTGTTCTCCAGTGCTTACCAGGTTGTGCATAAAAGCCGAAATGTGCCAAGATGTCGGCTTTTAAAGTAGTTGGAGCATTTTTAATTACTCACTCTCGTCTCGCCTCCCTCCGCCATTGTGTGCTACCGCGACAAAGCACACATGCGACAAATTACATCAGAAAAACGCCAGTACGTTATAATCGGTTATGGTCTATTACTGAACCGATACCGAATCGTCCTCATCTGCATCGCGATGCATCGTAGAAACGATTAATTTCGACACCCCTAATTTACAGAATGTTACTTCATAACCTGCTCGCAAACAAACCACATCAGTAAGTACACTTACATCAAGCAGTGACTGCAGGTTTTTGCAAAGCCTGACATATAAAAGAATAATCAAAAGAATCTATCTTTTTAATGATCTACCGAAGATTACACTTTCAGAGCGTGTGCACAACACCGAGGCCAATTGTAGTCTGATTATTGTGTATACATGCTGAAGTTTTATCCAAAACGACTTAATATAGAGGAGCATACACAATTAGTCACTGAGCCAACAGTATTCGCAGTATACATGCATTCTAGTTTTGTTTGCCATTAGATTTACCAGAACGAGTGTCTGTGTTTTGAAAACTTGAAGTCATTTTCCCGCCCTCTGTACTCTGACGTTAGCAGTTCCTAATTCAAGACGTGCAGGTTGTTGTGGCTGTTGCAGAGCCTGTTTCTCTGGCTCAGAGCTGTCTTTCCTGTGATGGGAATTATAGATGTATGATATTATCTGACATATCGGAACCGGCCGATAATGGCTTTGAATGTACAGTCGTGGTTAGAATTATTGGCACCCTTGGTAAATATGATCAAAGAAGGCTGTGAAAATAAATCTGCATTGTTAATCATTTTGATCTTTTATTTAAAAAATTCACATAAATCTAACCTTTCATTGTAGAATAAGAATTTAAAATGGGGGGGAAATATCATTATGACATAAATGTTTTTCTCTAATACACATTGGACACAATTAAGTCAAGTCAAGTCATCTTTATTTATATAGCGCTTTTAACAATACAGATTGTGTCAAAGCAACTGAACAGCATTAATTAGGAAAATAGTGTGTCAATAATGCAAAATGACAATAGTAAACACTAATTTTTCAGTTAAAGACAGTTCATCATTGAATTCAGTGATGTCAACATCCAGCTCAGTTTAAATAGTATCTTTGCAATCAAGTCAACAGTATCGCTGGAAATGAAGTGTCCCCAACTAAGCAAGCCAGAGGCGACAGCGGCAAGGAAGTCACTTTCTAATTTGTGAAGCTCAATTATCTTTTGCTGCACATCAGAAATATATTCTTTGGTTTTTCTCATTGTGATGGATGATTAAGGGAATTTGGCCTTTGTTTTCCCTCCTATTTATATTCCTGTGAAACAGGAAGCCATGGCTGGATAATTTCATGTTCATAATCACCCTGGTATGCTCAAAATTGTAAATATGAATGGGAATATACTTCACAGATATTTTACTCATAAGAATTTCTAGGGGTACCAATAATTGTGTCCAATGTGTATTTGAGAAAAACATTTATGTCATAATGATATTTCCCCCCATTTTAAATTCTTATTCTCCAATGAAAGGTTGGATTTATGTGAATGTTTTTAATAAAATATCAAAATGGTTAACAATGCAGATTTATTTTCACAGCCGCCTTTGATCATATTTACCAAGGGTGCCAATAATTCTGACCACGACTGTACATATCGGCATCGGCCCGATATGAAAAATTAAAAAAGAGGAATAGGTTAACTCGCATGTGCTGTGGGTGTGCTAGCGATTAGATCACGTCAGCAGTGTGACTCCTTTTTGAAGCAAAGTTTTGCCTGAATGGTAATTAGATTCACTGTTTTGGATAGCTGCATTTAAACTGAGAATGCAAATACAGAATGAAGAGTTCGGTGTGTGAAACCGTAATAGCACGAGCAGCGGCAGCCTCCCCCGGGTCCTAACGCCTGTTCGGTAAGGAGTTTTAATTCCGTAGGGGGCGCTGTTGGTCTATTTTTAATAAAATGAAAGTAAAATACACAAATAACATTTAGACTGAGTTTCTGATTAAATAAAGCAGTAATTGATGTCATAAAATCATGAGTATGTTTTGATTTAAAGGTCAGAAGCTATAGCTTACATGAATAAAAAAAATCACAAACATGACACTTGTAAATTAAATAATTTTATATATATCGATTTATTCATTAATGTGTAATATGTTATATTTTTTAAACAAATTATGAGCTCTAAAAGATTTTCAGAATTTTTACAACTCTTTTGCTATATCTGATTGATATATAGTTATAGTTTTTTTTTTTTTTTCAAAGCTTTAATGTATTGTGATTATAAAATAACTTCATTATTGTTTATTTTATTCTAACGAATAAGTTCTTGTTAAAAACTAACCAAAATTAAAAATAATTTGCTTATAATTTCCGCACAGGAGAGACTTGGTGTTGTTTCCAAACAAAAGGAAATATATCGTTATCAGCATGGGCTATTGGCCAAAAGAGTTGAAAAATATCGGCATATCGGCAAAAATCCAATATCGTGCATCCCTAATGGGAATGGTGGAAAAGTTCTAGATTGTGCATCACTCTATTGGTGGAAAATTAACTTTTGAGTACTCTTAGGGGACATCCACACAGAACATGTTTTTCTATTCCATTGCGCTACTTTTCCATTGTTTTTCTATGTAAACACAGGCTAGGCGGACATGTATGACCGTTACACTCGCATCTCGCATGTTTTGCAGCATCTCGCACTTGAGCGCCGCATTTTTAAGATGTTGTCAAGTTAAAAGAATTCCAACTTTTGCACACAGCACTATTCATCAATGTCCGTTCCAAAACAGTGAACCAATCAGAAGACCCCAAAAGGCAGGGCATGTGTTGCGAGCTTTTTGTTTACAGTAGCAAGTTGGCATGCCAACGGTTTTATTTGACTGCAACATGGCGGAGGAGCAGGGCTCGCAAAATCGCTAGCCCGACGTCCCGGGGCTATTGTGTTTTCCAGTCGGGCTACCAAAATGTATCACCACTCTGTCCGACGGGCTATCTTCAATACAGATCTCCCGCGGGTCCTTAAAAACTCCTAAAGTGAGTTGTATCACCTTTAAGGCCATAAAAAGTTTTAAATACGTTAAATGGTATAAGAAATGTCTTAATTATAATTTCAAGAGGTTTTACAGTTGGGGACGGAAAGACAAGAGAGGCGATACGGCTGGATTAAACTTCAAAAGGCAATGATGTCATTAAATAAATATGAGCGCTGCACGTTTCAAATCAAAACACGGAGCGGATGTCTTTATTTGAATGTATCTGAAGGGAACCGACTGTCCCAAAAGTCCCTTTAAGGGTATTCTATAGTCACTGTCCTCAGAAACGTGTCCTTGGCATTTTAATTTTATGAGCCCAGAGCTGCTTTGTGTACAGCCGTTATCGGGGAAACCGTGTTCCTTTTACTTGTGCAGCTCTTAAAATGGGTCATAAATGGCCTTAAATTTATTTTTTTAAATTCTGCAGATACCCTGTAAATAGTTAAATAAAATTCCTTCCTTCATATTTGTTGATATTTGTGTATTGAACATATTTTTGTTTGACATTTAAACTCCTATCTGATTTTCTATATTTAAAAAAAAAAAAAAAAAAAAGGCCTTTTTTTTTCTTTTTCTTTTTTGGGCTAGTTAAATTAATTTTCGGGCTACTAAAATCTGAAGAGTACCTGCCCGAAGGGCTACCAGGGATTTTGCAATTTTGCGAGCCCTGAGGAGGCATGTTTTTAGTTGCAAAGATGCGTTGTGTGTGTGAAAGGCACCTTTTGAGATCAAAATGTTCTCCATGGAAAGTCTCAAAGCTGCTTGCTGTTATTGAAAAACAATAAGGTCATTATGATGATGAAAGTTATGGATTGTGATGTGTTATGCTGACTTTTGTAACCTCCTCTCACTAGGACTATTACAAGATAATCAAAAATCCTATGGACATGGGAACAATCAAGAAACGCCTAGAGAACAGTTACTACATCAATGCCCAAGAATGTATTCAAGACTTCAACACCATGTTTACTAACTGCTACATTTACAATAAGGTACTGGTTCACATTTCTGCTCCCATCATTTATAATGGATCATAGTGGTGTGTTTAGGCGTGTGATTAATGGTATGTGTCGCCCCCTGCAGCCTGGGGATGACATAGTCTTAATGGCAGAAGCACTGGAGAAGGCGTTCCTCCACAAGATTTCAGAGATGCCCCAGCAGGAGATTGAGTTGACGACCACATCTGGCAAGGGTCGTGGCCGGGGCAGGAAGGATCCAGGTATAAGTCTCATACTCTCTCTTACCTGAGGGCCACTCACACTGCTGCCATTTTAGGGATCCTACACAACTACTGTGGCCAGAAGATCATTTGGGCTTCACTGTCCCAAGTAGTGCTCACTGCAGAGCCAAACGACATCCAGCTCCCCTTATCTGGATGTAATGGGTGGAGCTTTACCCAGTCGAGCTACACCTCTGTAAACCTAATGGGTGTAGTTATGTTTAGCGAAAGGGTATGGTTAGGGTGTGGTTGGAGTGTCTAGTTCCACCCATTACATCCACCGAGGGGGAGCTGGACGTCAAGCTCCACCCAATGGCTCTAAAATTAATCATTTTAATTCCTCCGTATTCTGTCTCTCTGTATTATTAGACATGAACCTGAAGATTGCACCTGGCCTGGAGTCTACGCATGCAAACCCTCAAACACGTGGCCTTTCCAGTCTTGCTCCTGGGCCACAAACGAGAGGACCACCGCAGGGTCCGCCTACTTTACCTCCCCAGTCCACCATGCAAGCCTTGCCCCCTCGAGTACCCCCCTCGCTCCCTTCACATCCTCCCCTTGCTCCTCAATTAGGGCCACCTTTTTCTATAGGCCCCACAGACTGCAACCCACAGGTCCCCTTGATGACGGCTGTGCCTCCTCCGACCCAAACTGCCCTGCCGCCCGTGCACATGCAGCAGAGTGCTCCTCCTATTCTACAAAGCCCCATCCCAATGCTTCCCAAAGTAAGTTGGCCCATAACATTCAAACACAGTGTCATTCTTCTTGATTTTAGTCTTGCGTCTTTGTCCTCACTCGCTTTTTTCATCAGCAGCAGAGAAAAAGTCAGAAAAGGAAAGCAGACACCACGACACCTACGGCAAACGATCCGCTGAACGAGTCCTCGCCTGCTGAGTCAAAGTCAGGAAAGACTCTGCCACGCCGGGATAGTACACGACCAAGCAAACTATCCAAAAAAGAGGCACCAGACTCCCAGCACCATTGGACACCCACCACTGGGACCCACAGCCCCAAGCAACAAGAGCAGCTACGCTACTGCTCCGGCATTGTAAAAGACATGTTTGCTAAGAAGCATGCAGCATACGCTTGGCCCTTCTACAAGCCAGTGGATGTGGATGCTTTAGGGCTACACGATTACCATGACATCATCAAGCATCCCATGGACCTCAGCACTATTAAGGTGAAAATACAGCTGCTGGTTCTCAATCATAGGATGAGCCACTTTTGCTTTCCATTCTTATCCATTCGGTTTTCTCTGTGGTTGTACAGGAAAAGTTGGAAAACAGACAGTACAGAGATGCTCAGGAGTTTGCAGCAGATGTACGGTTAATGTTCTCCAACTGCTACAAGTACAACCCTCCAGACCATGAAGTGGTGGCTATGGCACGCAAACTGCAGGTATGTGCATACCTGTAAAACACTGTGTACATTAGGGCTTGCATGACAAGTCTTTTTTACTAGTCAGGCGTCTAGCTGGCTAGTCAGTGTTTACATTATGTAAGTGACTCGCGGTAGACCATGCTGTATTACCTGTCATTGTGGTATCCAGTAAATCTAGCGATGCACTGACAGCAGGGTCAGAAATTAACTTCTCCATTAAAGGGTTAGTTCACCCAAAAATGAAAATTAGCTCATAAGTTACTCACCCCAAGTCATCCTAGGTGTATATGACTTTCTTCTTTATTTAATTAAAATGCGCCCATCCATAAAAAAAAGTGTCTCACATGGCTCCGGGGGGTGGACAAAGGCCTTCTGTAGCGAATCGATGCGTTTTTGTAAGAAAAATAACCATATTCAAAACGTAATAATCACTTTAATGTAGCTTGCGCTCACCGTTGTACACTGGAAGCAGTTCCGGGGAATAACGTATGAGGTCAGTGCTGCGCATGCGCCGCTCAGAAGTGACGCACGCGGAAATGCAGCGGAGAGATCAAAACAAAACAGTGGTCAAAGAATTAGAAGTACAAAACGAGGATTTGTAAAGAAGAATGTCGGAGGATTTCGATATAAGCCAAGAGGAGACTGGTTTTCCTTTGCTAAAGTAAGGAAACTTTACTTCCTTTGCTCCTGTTAACAAACGTTGGTTTTCACGAGACTCACTGGCGCATGCACAGCACTGACCTCATACGTCATCCGCCTGGAGCTGCTTCC